CCAAGTAGTTACCATGAGCTTTTCATAACACTCTTTTTAGATGTTGAACCACCTCAACAGTTTGCATCCTTTGGGTAAATCGGGCATCATTAGCACGTCTTGACATGTAATATGCTGACAAATAAAATGTCCATAATTCAAACAGATCCTATTAGGATTATATGGTAGCATTTGCAGTGAGATACAACTTGTTGTCTTCGAAGCATGGTGATTTCCGTATGCCTTATGGGTGCTGAGTTTCCTGAGTCCCAGACCAGAGTAGGATGTAATCGCTCGACCCTTCTCCTCACATGAACCCTGATGACTTTTCTCTCTACATTCCAGCATGACTGAAATGTGGCGTGTGTCTTCTCTGTCATGTCTGCTTAATGCTTATGGAACTAGTCAGAGTGCTCTTGGCTTAGATAGCTTTAGTCCAACAAGCAATAATTATGTTTCCGAAAATTTGGAAGCTGTAAGATAAGATACATTTTTGGAACATATATTTACATATATGTTTGAATATTTATTTTTCTGAATAGTTTGTATTCATCTGTTCTTATTCCCTAGCTCCATTTTCATTCCCTGCTTTCTCCTTTTGATATTTTGTGTAGGGTGTTATTGTAAACGAGCACATATATATCAGCAGATAAACATTTTTAGATGCATCCAGTGAATAGGTATCTGGTTATCCTTTAAGGTAAAATGAGTTTGCTTTTGCATATTGATATTAATTACCTTTTGTTCATTATTAGTCACTGTGCTAGAAACTTTATGCGTTCTTTTATTAAAATCCTATATAGAAAATACATTTGTAGTAAAGGTTGCAAGTGGTATGGAAAGTAAAATGTGAAACTTCTCACCTTCCCAAATGGCCCACTCCAACCTTCTGTCGCAAAATAATGATAGCATTTTCTTAAGTCCTTCTAGGAATTATCTGTATGTTCTAACCGTGTATTTGTGTCTCCCTCACATTTTGAACAAACTGGATTCATACCATGTAGGCTGTTCTGCAGCTAGGGTTTATTTACACATGAAGATCGGCTTTGGACTTCTTTCCATAGCAGTAACCCTGAGCCAACTCATTTGTGTTCGTGTTGTACAGCACACCCAACGTATGGACATAACGGAGTTTAGTTCTCGTATTGATTTAGCTTGTTTCCTGTTTTCACTGGTACAAACAGTGGTGCGGTCAGTAACTTTATCCATACATCATCTTTACACATTGTTCAAATATGTCCAAAGGATAAATGCCTAGTAGAATCGTTGGTCAAAGATGAGGGTATTTTAAATTTTGATTAATTGCTCTCTTAGAGGGTTGAACCAATTTGCATTTCAAACAAATTTAACTCTAAGAACAAGCAAGACTTAGAGACCCTAAGAGTGTGAGTAACTTGACCCAGGTTCTCAACTTTCAAACGCAGACCTGGCCAGGCTGTTTCTTCTAAGATACAGATGTCTCAGCTGCCATCTTAAAACACAGCTCTGGCTTTCAGACTAGGGAGCAGCATTCTGTATTCTTTTATATTCTCACTCAATGAAGCGATAATGATAATTCTTCCATTATAAAGACATTGCCCTTTATAGTTTTCAGAACATTTTTATATTCTCATAATGATCCTATGACATGGACATTGATTACTAGCCTGATTCATACATTTGAAGAACTGAGGCTCAAAGGCAAAACACTTAAATCTTAAAATATAATCAAAAGATGGTCCTTGGCCAAAGGCCTTGTTGCCCCCACACGGCGGAAGCACCCAGAACATTAAAATGCTAGTAGAAGAGGTGATACGGGAGATGCGATTAGTGGCTGTGACTGTATTGCCGTTGGCATATTAAGCGCATGAACAGGAAACACACTAAAGTCTCTGGCCACGGGCCCCATCACACCTCCAGAAGAGCTGTTTTCTGGCAGCCCTGTGTATTATGGCCCCGGGGAAAATGGGTGATTTCAACATAGCTGTCTTTTAAAATTGTTCGTTATATTTGATCCAAAACTGAGTTTAAATTCCCACCATGAATACCATGATCATTGCATTTCTAATCGCAGAGCATTCATTACATGTACAGTAGCTCCTTTTTTATGGTGTTGACTCACCCTCTGTCTCATCCCCTTTTCTGTTCTATCTTAGGCTCAAATCAAATCTTTTTCTCATTTGTCTTGGTTCTAAAGAGAGAAGCTCTTTTTTCTGTATGGCCATGGGTCAGCTCTTGAGTTCAGATGGAAGCTTTGCTGTTCTCCTGGCCCCCGTATCCTACACAAGTGCATGTACTGAACTTGATCCATAGACATCTCTTAGGACAATGTTTCTTCTAGTTTTGCTTTTTATTATTTTTTTACTTCTAATTCATAACTTATAAAGTCAATATGATTTTTCTCCTTTTATGATTAAAGACACAATCATAGAAAGCTCATGTGACTTACTTCAACTACAAGCCAGAGTTCAAATTATTCTTTACTATCCACTAGCTCCTAATTCATCGCAAGAGGTCTCCAAATTACGAAACAGGTTTTGTTCCAGAAATTCATTTGTAAGTCAGTGATTTGGCATTCAAACTGCATTTTACCACATTGGGGGGGAAAATGTTATAAATGGTGATTGAGTCCGTTGGCTGGCTGCAAAAATTGTTTAACTCTTCTGTAACTACAAAATGATACACTTGTAATTTTATAAAAAAGAGGGAATGATGGTTGTAATTCAGGTTACAAAGAAAAAGAAAAACTATTATAATTATTTTAAAAATATTTGTATTGATTTTAGAGATGAAGGGAGAGGGTAGAAACATCAATGATGAAGAATAATTGATCAGCTGCCTCCTGCACACCCTACACTGGGCATCGAGCCCATAACTTGGGCATGTGCTCTGACTGGGAATTGAACCATGACCTACTGGTTCATAGGTCAATGTTCAACCACTGAGCCATGCTGGCCCGGCAAAAAATTTCTTTTTCCTGAGGAAAAGCAGATTTGGTTAGAAGATAGGGAAACATGGAATTGACAAGAGCTCAGGGGAGATGTTAGGGCTCTTGGGAGGGTGTTGGAGAAAGATCGATGGCCTCTGTGTTAAGCCCAGTTTCACTTGAAAACTGAGAATTTTATTGTTAGACTAGAGGCCCAATGCAGTCCCTCGGCCTGGCCTGTGGGATCGGGCCAAAACTGGCTCTCTGACATCCTCCGAGGGCTCCCAGATTGCAAGAGGGTGCAGGCCAGGCCAAGGGACCCCACTGGTGTACAGTTGGGACCAGGGAGGGACACGGGAGGGCTCCAGGGTGTGTCCGGCCTGTCTCACTCAGTCCCAGTTGGCCGGACCCCAGCCACAAGCTAACCTACTGGTCGGAGCATCTGCCCACTGGTGCTCATAGTGAGTGGTTGAGTTACCTTAGCATATCATTAGCATATTACGCTTTGGTTGGTTGAACGGACGACTAGACGACCAGACACTTAGCATATTAGGCTTTTATTATATAGGATACTTTCACTAGCACAATTCACCCAACAGCTGTGATTAGAGTTAATAGGATTGATTGAATTAAACACTTTAAAAAAAAAAAAACATAGACTCTGAGATATTAACCAACCTGGGAAGGTAGAACCAAACCATCAAACCAGAAAAGCCTTCCTTCCGTCCTCCTGATGGGAAGGGGAAAGGGAGTCATTGATTTTCCCATTCAGCCCAGTAGATCCCATCAGCTGGCGTAGCGTGGCCGTAGCGTGGCCGTAGCGTGGCCGTAGCGTGGCCGAGGTCAGGAGGGCAGGCTCCGGAGCGTGAGTCATGGGTGGAGGCGAGAAAAAGAATGTGCCCTCAGTATTTGGAGAGTGAGAGCTTCCACTTCTGGGAAATGACGGCATTTATCTCATCCGGCGTTGGCTTCTTACATTATCTAGACTGCCTTTCACTTAAGCGAACAAATAAGCATCTTACATTCTATTAACTTTTTTTTAAAAGTGCCTTTTTAGATGGCCTTTACATTCTGTTGTTTCCAGAGCATTTGCACACAGCGTTTTCCTTTTGTTAACAACAAAAGAGAGGATCTGCCCTTCAGTAAACAGAAGCTGAAGTGAGCAGATCTTGCTGAGGCAGCACGCTGAGAAGTGGTGGAGGATTAGAGTTGGTGCCTCCTGGGTCAGTTGGGGCTCTTCCACTCCCTACCTGCCTTCCTACTAGTTGGATAAGAGAATACATTTCACTGCCATTGCTTGGTGTTGGGTATGTTATCTGAATATTTTATAAAACATATAAAACTATATTTTATAGTATATATGTATACCCAGGAGTGACTCAGTGAAAGAGAGAGCAACGGTATTTACTGCAACAATGCAAAAGCCCTCTCAGTAGCCATTATAAAGACAGTGGGATTGGCAGACCCCTTTCAAAGTGATGAGAGAGGCAACAGCTCCTTGATTTAATGTATGTTTTGATATTTATAAATGCTTTGTCTTTTTATTAAAACAGTTGATTAAATTCCATCTCTCTTAGCTGTGATACTTGTATAATGGAGTGTGCGTGTGTGCGTGCGTGTGTGTGTGTGTCTGTCTGTCTGTGTGTGTTTGAGGAGTTTTATCCAAAAGGTAAATAAATCGGTAATGCTAAATTTGTCTCCTAGCATAATGGGTATCTCCTGGGCATGAGGATGCAGGTGGAAACTCTATGCATTGTTCAGGCATGTTCTGTTCGGAAGCGCCCCTGTTGAGTAGATTTCACGGGGAGTGGAAACACCATGTCCGCAGATGGGAAAGAGGTGGTTGGTCGGGGTACCTGTGATCCGCAGAGGTGGGGGGAGCCTGGAGAGAGGGCGCTCCTGAAGCTGTTTTGTCTGCATAGAAGAGTGCCGCTCCGGAAGGGCTAGCGAGCCAAATCATTCTTTTCCTCTTGTTGGCTTTCATGTAAGGTTAAGTAGACCAATCAGAGCTAGAACCCTTGTTTTCAAAGAGCTGTTTTTAAGTATCTTCCCTGACTTTCCACAGATTCGCCTGCCTCGCGATAACTGGATGGTTTTATGTCGTTGTCTTCTTTAGGGTCAAGAGATTGGAGCATGACCATGAGCAATGGAAATAGCGATGGTGTGGTTCTGAGCAATGGCAGCCTTGCAGCCAGCGCAGCCCCCCCGAGCCCCCCGCCCCCCTCGGACGGAGACCTTGCAGCCCAGCAGCTCCCACCCAAAGAGGCACCAAGAGCAAAAGTGAGTCCAAACGGCTGCCTGCAAGTGAATGGCACAGTCAAAGCATCCTTCCTGCCTTTAGACAACCAAAGAACGACGCAGCTGTTGCCGCCGTGCTGCCACCCTTGCCCGTACCATCACCCGTTGACCAGCCATAGCGGTCACCAGGAGTGCCACCCCGAGGCCGGCTCGGCGTCCCCGTCTGCTTTGGCCTCGTGCTGCCTGCAGCCCCACTCAGAGTACTCGGCGCCTCTGTGTCCACACCATGCCCCTGTTTACCAGACCGCGTGCTGCCTGCAGCCCTCTCCCTCCTTCTGCCTGCATCACCCCTGGCCCGACCATTTTCAGCACCAGCCTGTGCCACAGCACGTAGCCAACATCAGGTGAGTGGTCCCAACGTCCGGCCAGCCGTCAGCTTTCATAATGCAACTGATTATATGGTACGGTCAGGGCACATACAGCCAATAGTGCATAATAAGTGGAACAACAGATCTCTCTCAAAACCAATAAATTAACAACAACAAAAAAGATGTACGGAGCAGTGTGAGCCCACTCCAGCATGGCTCAGCCTGGCTGGGCCCTGGAGGAAGGACGTGTGGTTGGAGAGGAGAGGGACGCTGGTTCAAGTCCTACAGGCACTGTCGGTCACGTTCAGATCGCTAGACTTGAACCTGTGCCAGGGGGAGGTATTATGTGTGTGTGCATGGTTTGTGTGCGTGTTTTTATTCTGGAAAAATATATATAACAAAAGTGATCATTTCACCATCTGTAAGTGTACAGTTCAGTAGCATTAAGTACATCCAGATGCCATGCAGTCGTCACCACCGTCCATCTCCAGAAGATTCTTTGTCTTCCCAAACTGCAGCTCCCCACCCATTAAGTCCAATCAGTCCCCGTTAGCCTCACCCCCAGCTCCTGCCAGCCACCATCCTTCTGTCTGCCACCAGGAATTTGGCTACTCTAGGAACCTCAGAGAATTGGAATCATAGCGTGTTTGTGTCCTTTTGTGAATGGCTGATTGCACTTAGCAAGGTTCATTCACGGTTCATCCAAGCCTGAGGGTAGTATGGTAGAGTTCCCTCCCCTTCTAAGGCTGAATAATACCCCATTGTAGGCATGGATAGGCACAGTGCGTTTACCCAGTCATCTGCCAGTGGACAGTTGGGTTGCCTCACCCTTTGGCTGTGGTGACTCAGGCAGCTGTGAACCTGGGTAAACAAATATCTGTTTGCGTTCTTGCTTTCACTTCTTTCGGGTCTACACCCAGAAGCACAATGACCGGATCCTATGGTCATTCTGTTTCACTTTTTGGGGAGCCAGCAAACCGTTTCCACAGCTGCCGTGGCATTTTACGTTCCCACCAGCCGTGCACATCCTTGCTCACACTTGTTCTTTTGTGTGGTTTGTTTAAAAAAAAACAGCCGCTTTAATGGCTGTGACATTACAGATTTTTAAGCAAAAAGAAGTCCTGTCAGATTTACATGTGAGAGAGGCCCCTGGTCTGTCTGCATTGTAGAGAGCAGGCTGGGCTGGGTCAGGACCACTGGAGAGAGGAGGACCAGGAGGAGGCTTGTTGCAGTAATTCAGGTGAGAGATGATGTGACTTGAACCAGGGTTTAGAAATCATCTCATGCTGGAGGGATTTTCAGGTTCTACATCCAGCCGGTCATGAGAATCACCTGGAGAGTTACAAAAAACATAGGTAAAAAAGGAAGGTTTTTTTTGCACCAGAAACAATAGAGACCCTAGGAGTTCAGAGGTGGGAAGGATCCCTGTGGAGTGAGGTCAGGGACAGTCTGATGGAGAAGAGAGAACTCGAATAACCCGAATAACCCTCAAAAGGTGACCAGGATGTGAGAAAGAACTGGAGGAGGCAGAGCCTGGGAGGGGGGAAGGTATGCAAGAATAAAGCCAGGCTGAAGGAAAGTAAGGAGAATGGGTGGCGGGTCAAGGGTCATCTGGCTGGTCCCGAGCGACGATAGGTGTTCCATCCTGAACAGTCGGGCTGTCTCCGAGCCTCCAGGCTCCTGGCCTGCGCTTTGTCCTGCCGAGATCTGGAAAATGTCTCGCAGGAGCCAGTCGCGTTCCATGTGTGCTGGTTGAAGCAAAGTATTCATTGGGGATCTTCTTATTGCCGCATTAAATGGAAAGGGGCAATGGTTTATGACAATTACTAAGGAGTTCTGCATCCAAAAATAGCATACAAAATTTCTAATCCAAACTACACTTACCTTTTAATTTGGTGTCGCAGAGAAATGAGCTCAGTGGTACCAGAGGACTTCGTAAATGATACTTGGCAATGCCACAGACTCATGACCATGGCAGGCAACCTGTGATGGTTTTGGGCACCTGCCAAATGCCTTTTTATTTCCCTGAAGGTGGTTTCGTAGACAGATGGTCAGTTTTGAGTGTTCCCCGTGGCACCCTGGAGGAGTTACAGCTCTGCAGAGTTAAGGAGGCTTGGCACAGAGGGGCCCAGCACCCCCCAGCATTAGCTCAGCCCCTTAAAGGTTAGATAAACATCATCCCCACCCCCACCCCCATATATTGTGACTGTGTCATTTTTTGTAACCTATATTTCCTTTCTCCTTTGTCACTTTATTAATTTTCCAATTTCTGACTCTTTTCAGAGGTTTTCTTTTTGTTTCCCCTTAGGACACTAGTTACTTTCTGTGGAGGGAACGCTTTAGAAGTAAGGATTCTTGTCTTGTGTTAAAAGAGATAGAAACTACCACTGGAAGCCTTGTTCTTTGGTATGTGCTGTACCATAAGGCCCAGGGGTAGTTATAACGTTGAGCGTCGTTTTCCGAAGTGCCTTCCTTTGCTACCCCTGGCCTTCAGTGAGCCACCCTTCCCCCTCTCCTGCGCCCTGGTGACTGTGTAATTGCAGTTAGCTAGGGAATTGGAACCAAAATCACTTTGAACACTTCAGCAGCATTGTAGCATGAACCTGGACCTGGACACAGACCCCAGAGTCTCTGATTGGCTCACATCACCAGACTCAACCCAATGGCTTTTCTAAGATGTTGGAGCCGTGAGTGGCGAAATTCAAGGTTAGTTCCTCACTTATTTAGCAAGTATTTAATGAGAACTTGCTAAGTGTTAAGTGCTGGGGACAGGTGAAAAACTGAGTCCAGGGTCCCCATTTTCAAAGACGTGGCAGGGATGTGGACAGGGTAAGACACTTGGATTGTGCGTGAGCCATCCACAGGTAGCTGCCTTCCTTGATCAGCAAATATTGACTGAGTAGCTGCTTTGTTCCCTGCAGCAGCGACGGTAAATATCAGTGCTTTGTCAGGGGCATAGCTGGTTCTTTTATTAATACAAAGAGAGGGCCAGCTTTATAAGTTCATTTCCCCTTCTTTTCCTTTCTCAGCCCTGAAAGGTTACTAGTAGCTTAAAAAGTCATTGGTCTTTGTTTATTGATCTTCGTTGTAACCTGTCTAGGACTATGGCAGGTGCGTTGGAATCCTGGTTCTGCCGTTTGCCAGCTTTGAGGCCTTGGGTAGATATTTCAGCTCTGAGCGTTAGCGTCTCTCTGTAAAGATGGGTAACTGTGGCCATTTTGCACATAGCTCAGTGCCTAGAACCGAATAGTCATCCCTTTCTCCTCTTTGTTCCTTTCATGGTCTTCTCTTTTTCGTTGGTGTTGTTCTTTACTGCCTGTGCTGGTTCTGTTAACATTGTTTTCGAAACCAAGCCATTCCTGAGTCCTGATGGAGCTAAGTATGGCTTTTCATTCTTACTGATCCATCGCACATTCGCCCCATCAGCCTCCAGGAAAGAGCAAGTGGAGAAGGTCACAGATCTGCCTCCGGAGAGGAAAGGGGGCTGCTGGGAACCTGTGGGCCTCTCCAGTCCCGAGGCTCAGGGCCCCTATACCTTCTACTAATTATATAATATGATTAGATAGTTAATTTTAGAAGTCTGGTCAGATTAAACCTTGATTTCACTGCAGCCAGGGTTTATGTTTACTTTCCTTAAAGTAGTCCAAATTAACTTTTTAAAACAGGATAATGTTTGTAAAATTTTAAATGTTCCAAGCTCGCTTGCCAAAGTAAGTGAGTTTGGCAGCCGGATTGAGCGAAGGCCTGTTTTATTAGCAGCACTTCTTTTAGAGGCTTTTTTATGTTATAAATGAGCAGGTTTTAGAGTGTGCACTGCCTCGTGGAATGCTTTGCACAGCCTGCAATACATTTCAGAATACGAGCTTTGGTCATCTTGTATTTTAACCATCAATGTCAAGAAACAATGCCCTTCTTATTTTATAAAATTAATTAATATACCATTTTGCCGTGAAGTAATATGTTCTTTACCCCTTTTCCATATTATTGCTTAGCAGGTACTGAGAGGGAAGAACACAAAAGAAATGACTCAAATTTTCCTTTTTTCGTTGTGGTTAAAACTAAAGTTTAAAAAACGTAAACTATTTGGCAAACAATAAAAGGTAAATGTCATTGTTATGGATCAGCTACGGCTCTAATACCAGGAAAAAGGCAATTATCTGTGATATCTTCTCCTCAAACTTCAGTGGATTGTTAAGTGTAATTTAAAAGAATTTATAGAACTTCATATTTATAGGAGAATTTTGGTTGCTGTACTATTTTGTGTTCTTTTCAGCAAAATTGACTACAAAATTACAGTGATGAGAGAGAATCATCAATTAGCTGTCTCCTGACTGCCCCTCACTGTCACCGAGCCTGTATCTGGGCCATGTGCCCTGACTGGGAGTCTGACTGTGACCTGGTTCATAGGTCCTGGCTCAACCAATGAGTCACTCTGGCCGGGCTGTTTTTTTAAATACACAAACCAGATAATCAACCAATTGCTTGGTGTTGGGAGTTTGAAATACAGCCTACTGCCTGGGGCATATTTGGAACCAAATATTTGTTGAATGAGTGATTACCCCCACCCCTCCAAATATATATATATATGGAAACAATTTTTTTTTAATTTACGAAGCTTAAATGTGTTTTTTTTTTTTTTTTAAAAAAAACCCTCACAAAGTTAGATTAGTCACTGCCATCAGGCAGCTTATAGTCTAGTAGGAAAGAGATGATCAAGACAGAAATAACCACACTCTCTGAGGACCCAAATCAAAGTGTAGAGGCTCGGGGA